CCAGAACAACACTGGAGAAGGTTGGTTCTCAGATAGGCTGAGACAAATAGACTGGGCGTTCTTAGAGTGGTCTTTGAAGAGCTCATGCATGTTTGATGCATACTCTCAGGATGGCCAGGCTTTGGTCATCTCTCCAAGAAAAGACTTCATAGACCTGGTCAATCACAGCGAGTGAAATTGTGACAATCACTCAGAAGCAGGATCCCTCTTCTTTTGCTGCTCTCTCCTCTCAATCAACACTGAGCCCCACGGATGGAAGGAAGGCACAAGATCTACAGTCAAATCATGAACCTATTCGTCTTCCGGGGTATCTGACCTTGACTAAGATAGAATAAGAAAAGACGTGAGATTAAATCAAATATGAGACTGAAGTTTTAAACTGGGCAAGATTTTCAGGTACTAGAAGTGAATGCAAAGTGGGGGAATACATTGAAGAATTATTTAAAGGATGAGGAAAAGAAATGAGGCTGAACTGAAAAGAGAGGACTCAATTCACATTTCCACTCCACTACTAACTACAAGAGCCTCAAACAACTATTTCTAAGAATGGCATTTGTGGGGCCAGAGAGATGGCTCATTGGTTAAATGCACTGGCTGCTTTTCCAGCAGACCCAGGTTTGATTCCCAGCACTCATGCAGTGGTGGCTCACAACTATATGTTACTCCATTTTCAGGAGACCCAATGCCCGCTTCTGGCTTCTGTGGACACTACACACATGTGGTGCACAGATACACATTCTATAAAAGCACCCATACACATAACATACAATAATACTTAATAAAAAAATAGTGTTCTTTACTCCTTGGCAAAGAGATCGTATCCCAACATATACAATGATATTTTAGAGAAATGTTTATGTATCTGTATACATAAAATAAATATATTTTCTTCCAAAGGCATTTACCTGTAAGTTTTCAGTTTATAATCTATGAGAGATTATATCATATATTCTGGATCATATATTATTTTCATTTTCTTTTCTGTTTAATTTTGGCTGTCCTTGTACTCACAATTCTGCTCTAAGTGCCCCAGTGTTGGAACTGTCCCTATCTGCCACCATAATAGGCTATCATTTCTTCCTATCATAGTTGGCTAGATAACACTTGTTGTAGTTAGAACATGTTAATTTTTAAAAACAATTAGTTTATAAGCAATTTACTAGAATTTTACATTTCTTCAAATTGAGTATCTTTAAAGGAAATTATTATTGCTATTCAGACTGAATAACTTCAATTATCCAGAATCATACTGTGGGTCACAGAAATTCTTTTAAGCAACTACTTACAAGTGCCAACCTTTACCTTCCTTCTCTGAAGCACACTACTTGGCAGCTATCACTCTGAAACCCTACATGCCACCAGGCTCTGAACCAAGAGTATGTCACCTCTTATTTGTGATTTAGCATCATATAATACATTTTGATAACACTCATTTCAATTCTCCAACTCCTTCCATACCAACTCCAATTCCTGCCTCCCTACCTTTTGTTCTCAAATAATTTTGTAAACCTAGGAGTCCAATTGGTTCTACTGTTGGGTGGTGACTATCCAGTGGAATGTGGCTGACCTACCCGGGACCACACTCTCAAAGAAAACTGCCTCTTTTAGCAGCTATCATTTGCCAAAGACTTAATATCTTAAAGGCACTATCATTTAACAAGTCACGTCATTTGGAAATCTAGGGACAGCACTCACACTTGTCATTCCTTCATAACTCAAACACAATTTATTATTCAATAAATTCATGTGGTATTCAATAAAAGATAGCCACTGTTATCTCTATTTTACTGATAAAAATGGCACAGAGAATTGTTAAGTAACTGGACAATGGGTGTATGAGTGTGAAAACATATAATATTGAATGAGACCTAATTGAAGCCAGAGGGTAGAGGCGTCCTTGGTTTCTCTACTGACATAGGAGGTGATACCGTCATGGACTGGATTATTATCCCATAAAATGCTTGAGGGAACTAAGTAGATTCTTTTTACCCTTCTATTCCTTCTCGTATATGAGGACATAGTGTCACATAACAATGAGTCACCTTGGAAACAGAAACTGAACCTTCACCAGACGTAGATCCTGACAATGACTAGATGAAGACTTCTTAACTTCCAAACTGTGAAAAATAACTTTAATATTTATAAATCACTCAATCTGCATAATTTCTATGGGAGTGCAGATCCATAAAATAATAAGATATAATAGGAGAATAGCATTTATTTTACAGGGCTGTTATTAGTGCTAGATAAAAATATAGTTATGATCCACTCCCCCTCACCCACTTTTGGCTGGGGATAGAAACTGAAATCAGGGCCATGTAAATGCTAGGATGAAGCATTTTTAAAAATTACCATGGATCACTTACAGGACTGATCAAAGAACAAATGTGTAACTATGAATCACTTTGCTTTAAACAATGCATATCTTTATATGTAAGCTAGTTTTAGGCTTATGAACAGAATAAATTATTGATTTAGTATATACATGATTATGTGTAGTATGCTTTTATTATCTGTGAATAATCTGATCATTTTTCTTCTTTCCATCTTTATCTAAATAGCTTCTCAGACACAAATAACATCATTAAGTTTTCAATAGTGTTGATTTTTCCATAAATTAATCAAGAAAATATTATTTTCTGAAAAGAGGCAACTTTTTGTTTGGATTTATGTCATAATTTGTTTAGAAATACTTCACTTTCATATTTATATTACAAAATCAAAATGTAATAACTAACATTTAAAAATAATAGCTAGCTAAGAAGTCAATTAACTAACATTAATTGACTTCTGTAATTCTCAACCATGGTCATTTTCCCTGCATAATTTTATACTGACCAGATTAATTATCACATGCATTTGCTATTGTATTTCCACATTAGTCCTTCATTTGAGAGAGGATTACTAAGTATCAATTACATGCTGCTTTGAAGCCATAGCCAATCTTGAATATTTCCCAAGAACCTCCAAAAGTTTAGCAGAAACCATGGCGATGACACAGTGTGATTTTACAAGCCAATGGCTGAATGACACATGAGACAGCAGAAGAAGCTGCACCTGCACAATGTAAATTCCTTTGGGATTCAGTACAAATGCCCTGGTATTTGCTGATTCAAGGTGACTGTAGCATGAGGCTTGTGGGTGCAGCCCCTACTCTTGTGTAGCACAGCTGCATGGTAGTGGGTAGTCACTTGATGCCATGTTTCTCACTGTAAAACATTAATAAAGGCGATACTGACCTTGGAGAGAGATGGATGAGGATTAGAAGCACTTGTTGCTCAGAATAACTCCCAGCACTTGATAGCATGAGTGTTAGTGATACTGAAGTTTCTTCCCTTTCTACCTGACGTTTATGAAATCTAGTTTGTCTTTTCTGAATTACCATGTAGCATTGTCTCTTTAATAATTTTATTCACTCTGTTTATTTTGAGGAGGAACTGTTTGCTGACACTGTGGCTCTGTCAGAACAGTGCTAGTGTCTTCCTTTGTTCTCCCTCCTTATAGGAGGCTCAGTCTTCTCAGTGTGTGGGAAAATTATTGCCAGACAGATTGTTTTCAGACTATAAGGAAAATATTTTGGAAGAAGAAATACAGTCAGAGGATTGATAATCAAGGGCATAAATTTCCTAAGCCTTTTTGTTTCACTCTCCCAACTTCAGGTCATGCTAAAGTCTTCTTACATGTTTGTTTCACAGGGAGACAATGAAGTTGACATTGGTGGAGAGGGAAAGTGTCTCTCTTCTTTCTGCTTGCTAGAAGAATAACAACTAACATGAAGCCTAGAAGGGAACTCTGCATAATGTAATTTCACTGGATTGATCAAAGTGGAAGTAGTCTATAGGAAATATATTTAGAATGGCAGGGGGAACTCCCCGTTTATAAACAGTGGTGTTGAGATTTGTGGTTTCCATTGATGATTGGACATCAGAACCACCTGCTATGCTGTGACATGCAGACCAGTCCCTGCTCTTGATCATTCCCACCTTCCATCAACTCTATTAGCCCAAGTGGTCTGGCTCATGAATGCATGGTAAGGCTTCTGTGAGAACTGAGAACACAGAGAACCACAAGCTAGAATTACTGATCAGACATTTGCTTGGTAATGACCATAACAAGACTTCATCTTTTTTTTTCTTTAATTGATATTGAAAAGTATCTTGTTTTAAAAACAGGATCCGAGTTTACTTAATCTCATGTTTTGTTAGTATTCAGGCATCTGTCCAGGCCTGTCCTTGAGGTTCTGACAGGATATGCCCTGAGATGCAGTCACTAAGAGCACCACCTGTACACATTCACCATGTTCCCTTTTAAAAGGATCCTGCCTACCTCCCATCCATCTCTGTCTCTTTCTTTCTCTCCCCCTCTCTTTGCTCCTGTTTCCTCTTTCCTGCTGCTCCTGGCCCCAGAGGCTGGTCTCCCTCCTCCCCTTTCCCTTCTTTATGATCCCTTTTCCCTAATAAAAAAACCCTCTGTTTGAACCCTGTCGAATGGTGTCTTTCTCTCGAGTGTTGCTTTTCTTAAATTACAACATGCTTTTCTGACTTCTGATGTGGAAAGATTGTGACAGAGGTGCAATGGTGGTCAGAATTGGTTTCTCTGAGTCTTAGAATTGCCATTTCCAAGCTGAAGAAATACTAAAGGCGAAATGAGATTTTCTCATATGGGCGATACACAGACAAACCTGCTTCTGCATGATGGAAAGTCACAATAAGAACACTAAAATTCACAGACTTTGAAATTTCTTAAGGTAATATAATTAAACTTAAAATGTCATTTTTGAACCATATAACTATAAATTAAAAAAAAAACAGAAAACAGTCAACCTAGATTGGATCCATTTCTCATTTTATGGCTAATAAAGTGCTTGGTTTGCAAAACAAAACAAAAAACCCAAAACACATGTGATGCAATAGCAGCATGTAACATCCTTCTTATCAGCTGCCTCCTACAGCAGCATCATTGAGTTAAAAGGAATCTTACCTTTAAGAGGCACCTTGACATCAAGGCCATAGAATGAAGGCAAGAGAGAAGAACAAGAATAGAAACAGAAACTGCAGAAGAAAAAGAGGGAGATTATGTAAGTCTGAACTTCCATCAGCATTCAGGTAGCACAAAACCTCAGCTTTCCAGATTATCTCGTTATAAAAAATAAAAGGAAAAAAAAAAAAAAAAACCAACCCATCCCATTTCATTCACCTATGGCCATACATTTTAGAAATAATGACAAGGGACTCTCCATGGCTCTAAGATTTAGGCTTGCAGTGTTGTAGAAACACTAAGCACAGAGCAGTAAAGCAACAGTCTAGTTCCATACATTCTTGGAGGGCAATGGGAGCCAGAGTGTGGGTATGTTGAGTTGTACTTTACTGTGTTCATTGTCTCCCTTTTTCAGAGATCGGAGGGAATTTCAAAACTGTAATCAGAGATATGTGCTTACTAAGCTGTCACTGATTAGTTAATGTGACAGGTTTTGGAGCCAAGACACAGCAGGAAGTGTATTAAGGTTCAGTGTGATGACCACCCTCTTGGGAACACATCTGAGGAGATGAGACACTATTAGGAATTGTATAGTGGTGATGAAGCAAATTTTTATGAATAATGGGAAATGGTGTTTGTTTTGTTTTGTTTTGGGTACTAAAATACATTAGAAAGAAAAAGCAAATTAGAGTAATGGGAAAAAAGTATTAGAAATTAAGATGAGGATGGTAGAGTGAAGGAAATCAAAATTATAGATGGCAAAAATATCAAGGCTTCTGGTGGGACAGCATCACCCCAAATCCTGGTGTTCTACTGAAGGTGAGCACCACCTTCCCTGTACCTGTGTCTCCCTGTTCCAGACACAATAACCAAGGAGAAAGTACAGAGGCCAAATCAGCAGCACTTAAAGATTAAACAAAGAAGTTTAATGCATACCTTTTCTTCTAAGTCCTTTATCTGCCGTTTTTGGATGTCTGTCTTATCTTCTAGGTCACGGATTCTCTGAATAAAACAGGGAAAACAAATTAGATGCTAAGTTGTTGAGGAAATTATTCACTACACAAAACAACGCTTTCTATGAAAACATTTATATTCGAGCCAGCACATGGAAATAGCACAAATACACTTTTCGCAAATAACAAGTTTTCTGCTTGTCTCAACCCTGATCTAGACTCACAGTGGGAAAATATTGTCACTGATAATATTTTTAAAAAGAATATTTTCTACATGCTTTAGTTTGGATCTTAAAAGCTTTCCCAAATAATGCATGCTACAAACATGGTCATCAGCCTGTGTGGCTGTACAGGAGGTAGAGTTTTGCAGAAGGCAGCTGAGGTAATCTGGGCACTCCCTTGATTCCATTCACTTTTGCTTTCCAACTGCCTCAGGGCAAGCAACTTTGTTCACTCCTGCTTCTTCCATGATGAACTGCTCCAAAGTAAAGAGCCAACTGTGATCATGGACTAGAACTTCTGAAAGCATGAACACAAATAAACCTTAGCTTTTATTTAATTGGTTTTGTTCTGAATTTTGTCACAGTAACAGGCCACTAACTAACCACCCCCTCCTTACCACCTGGAGAGTCCTAGCCCAGGTGAGAGGCATGTATTCCACCATACAGCCACTGGACTTGGCTAGATTGCTTTTCGCCTGGGGAATGTGAGCTTATATGAGATATGGGAATGCCATATCCATATCCTTGTAAGAGAGCAGTATGTTCCAGAACTAGTGAGAATAAAGTGATTGCCCTTGTCAACCCTTTGGTTGCTTATTTGTACAGTAAAAAGGGCTGAAGCTGACTGTGCAAGGGCAGACAAGTGTTGGCTTTTCTTGTCTCTCTGCTTCAACTCCCTTTGGGGATGGAATTTCCTCACAAAAGGTGATTGGCCAATTCTCAAAAGCCAGCAGAGATTACAGTTTAATACAACTTCTCAGAAGTGAGCCAATAAGCTGGGGATGAAGCAATTCTAACAAAATACCACAGCAGTCAGGAATGCAGAAAAGCCTATGTAACCACATTCCACACAGGGAGAGGACACAGACTGGATAAAGGCATTACACAGACAACTGTTTGGGAGAAAAATAAGTCTTCACAATTTCTCCGACAGCCTAAAGGCTTTTGGTACCCATGTGCATTGTTGTGCATTGCTATTTATGGACCACTGTTTGCAAGAGCTTAAACAGTGACCTTCAGTAGACTAGGGTGATAACATATGTAAAGCTTTTGATAATGCAAAGTGGGGAGAAAAAGAAGGGAAGCCAGAAGAAAAAACTATTTCAACATGGATACCAATTCCCCTTTCTAAAGTGTCATCTGGAGGTGATTTTCACCCTCTCCTGGAGGTGGGCATTTGGTGATGTCTGAGAATCTTTCTGGTTGACTGGTATGCTTATTATATAATGCATAATTATTTCATATTTTACTATCATAGCAAATTTGTGTACCTATCACCAGTACTTAATTGTGTAAATATTTCTTACTATCACAACTGCATTGTAAGATATTTAATGGCGCTACTGATTTAGACCCAGTAGATCCTACAATGCAGGAGACATTCTCCCACTCCCCCAAATTAATAATGATGTGGATGATCTCTCTTAATACAGCCAAGATGGACAAACCCTGCTATCAAAGAAAGGAGGGGAGGCTTGTGCTCTAGTTGTCCTTGTGACATGCTGATGAATGATGGAGATTCAGGTGAACCTGGAATATGGTGGCACTGACATGTGTGTGATATGTGTGCTGGTGTGCACTTGAGTTGTACTGCATACATTCAAAGGCCACATAACAAAACAGTAAATGTGCCAGACATTTCTCTCTTGTTGATGCAGACAATTCCTTGGCCTGTGTCTGCATACAGACATAAATATTGATTGAGAGAACCATATATCCATCAGATTGCTTATTCAGCCATCAACTCTGTGCTAGCTAACAATTTTCTGTCTATGACTGTAGCACCTATACTGAAGAATACAGCTAAAGCATCAACTAATTCCTGATCCGAAAGAGCCATGATATTTTTTGACAAGTTAGAATGTAAAAACAGAATAACAAAATTAAGTAGCCAAGGTAGAAAATGGCTAAGATATAAAACACTGTCACCCATCTCCAATTCCTAGGGCTGTGATAGTCTGTAGACAGACCAATCTACACAGTAGATGAATCCATTGTTCTTCATTGCGTGTTGTAAGATCATTTCTTTCTCTTTCCCAGCCACTTGCCATCCAACCAAGAGGAAACATTGTGAGACACCCAAACAGATTCTCATTTTCTCTCTTTCCATCCCTCCTCCTCCTTCCTTTCCTGCCTCCCTCTTTGTTTATCATCTTCATCCCTTGTTGGGACTGGTGAGACAGTTTATTATTAGTTCTTCCTGCCTCTTGTTTGGTCCATCCTACACCAACTCTGTCCTCCCTACACCAACCAATATTGCTAATATGAACTTGAAATGTGAAATAATCAGATTGGGGTGTGCATAAGATCCCCACTACTATTCTCAGCTCCATAAGGTTAGAAAGATCACAGAAGTCCTGAGTCTAAGAGGTGGAGAAAGGAAAAACTATCTGAGTTGTATCAAACTAAGGGCTAGGTTCCTGCAAGGCCCCTGCACTGATCTTGAGGTTTCCAGCTTCACTTCTTAGCCCAACTGTGCACACCAGCTGTACCGGCTTCTTCTGTGGCTCTTGAATGTATACTGAATTTTAGTACTTGCTGCTTTTTCTGAGACCTTTGTGTGGATGGTTCCCTGGTTTTCGTGGATCTTTAGAGGTGTCCGATGACTAACTGGCCTAACATGCTTATTCTTTCTGACTCACATGTGCACCTATATACATCGTCTAAGCTTCTTCCCAGCACTTAGTGGCTCCCTTAGGGATGGTTCACTCTGGGGTTCATTTGTGCTGTGCCTTTGTCCTTTCCCATCTGTACAGCAGAGCAGCTGTCTTCAGGGACTGCCATAGTCACAGCATCTGGTACACAGCTGGACATGGATTTTACTGATTATAAAACAAGGTTTTAAATGTATTTTTTTAAGAGTGCTTGGTACATTTTGTTCATCTGGCAGAGGATTCTGGAAGAGGCAGACCTTCAATAGGGACTGGAAACAATGAGAATGTTTGAATGCCATTCTTGGTGGAAAGTTAGGAAAACAAAGGCTTGGGAATAGGAAACTCTGGGCAAGTGACACTAAGCTTTGCACTGGAAAGAACTCATGTGTCCCCAGTCACATCTTAAGGGAGGGATGACCAGCTAATGAAGGACCTTAAGAGACCTACACAGGACTTGATTCACTTAGAAAGAGAGACCACAGATACACTTGAGCAAGAAAAGTAGTAAGACCAGGGTTGACTCATGCAGTAAATTGAAGGGAGAAAAATAGGAAGTTCCTACAATGTGTTTTCCACAGCTCCTGGGCGGCTCATGGGCTTCGTTAATGCTATTTAACAAATTCCACCATAATTATTTTCTTGATGCTAATCACCTTTATCTTGAAATATATATTGAATATACACACACACACATTATTTCAATATATATGTGTGTGTGTGTGTGTGTGTGTGTGTGTGTGTGTGTGTGTAGATGACAGAATCAAGTTAGCAGGGGCCACCTGGAAGCCCTGTAATAATGAAATCCTACAAATGCCTGTAATGGTGTGAGCAATTTAGACTGGCTTCAAAGCAATCATGGAACAATATCAGTTGGATGTGGTGCTACCTAAGTTCGCTGAGGGAGAGGACAGAGAAGGTGTAAGTGTTGATTCCTGAGTGATTTTGTGCTACCTAAGTTCGCTGAGGGAGAGGACAGAGAAGGTGTAAGTGTTGAGGCCTGAGTGACCACAGATAAGGTTGTTCTATTGACCCAAGCAGATGGAGAGGAGAGAGGAGACAAGGACAAGGAATGCATATTGTTTTCATTTTGGGACATCTAAGCATAAATGTCTAGTAAATAGCTAGCAATTGTCTCTAGAATTTACACATCATAATTATATCATAGTTATCTTTGATACATCCCAGCCAGTGCCTTCTGGAGTGACTCTGCTATTAAGCTACTGATTAAAAGGAAAGAGGACAGTAAAAAATAATTAGGAAAGATACTTTTAATGTGAACATGTTTCAGAGAGGGAGAAATGTCAGGGAACTCTCTCAACTCAACCTGAGTCACATAAAAAGTGAAATTTTTTTCAAGAGAGGTAGCTTAGCTAACAGATTAATGAGAGACTCCAACTGGGATACCAGCATTTTATCATAAGCAAATTTAGATAACCACGTTAAAACAGGCACATATGCATTTATAAGACAAAGCTCTCAATTTGTTAAACTTGATTGGATGCTTTTTAATGTAAGGAATTTGTGCAGAAGACACTTTTATCCTCCAGTAGAAGTGGAAAACAGAGAAACAAAATAACCTATTTTCAAAAGCTTCAAAAACTTTCCACTTGTCAAACTGCAAATCTTTGTAATCCTGGGGGCTTCCTGATAGAAATTTGCATACGCATATCATCTTGGGGCAAATGACTTGAGTGCTCTGCTCCCCTGGTGTGGAGAACACAAAGCCCCTGGTTCTATCTGTGCTCTCAGCCTTCCATGGTTTGCTCTTACTGCTAAAATAAAGTAACCACAATTCATTTTCTACTCTGTTAACTTCAATGCATGCCTTGCACCTCCTATATATTTCAACAGATTGCCATAGCCTGAATAGCACATATTACAACCTGCAATAGGAATTCTAAATTCCTTTGAATTTGAGTAACTCTACTGTTGCTCATTGGTACAATATGAATGAAGAATTGCAAAGATTTTTGGCTGAAAGTTGGTAATAGGTGCCTACATTTTGGCTTGCCAGTCTAGACAGATCATGTAAGTCACAAATGCCTTAAGCTGCATGTGGCAGCAGCCTGAAATGGTTAGCACCTGGGGCTCAGGGGCCGGCACACCTGGTCTGTGATTTTGCTCTACTACTTACTATCTTGAATAAGTCATTTGACTACTTTTGTTTCCACAACTGAGCTTATAGGAACACTTATCTCTTAAAGCTTCTGTGAAGATGAGGTGAAACAATTCAACTACAGACTTTACATTCTTTCTTTGTTTTTATGAATGTGGGTGATTTGCCTGCATGTATGTCTATATTCCATGGGCATACCTGGTATCTGAGGATGTCAGAGGGGGCATCGGAGCCCTTGGAACTGAAGTTACAGACAATTATGAGGCATCATGTGAGTGCTGGGAATAGAACCTAGGTCCCTCGGAAAAGCAGTCAATGCTCTTAACACTGAGCATAGTTCCAGACACAAATACAACCTTCAGATCCCGATGAAGCAAATGCCAGGCAGCACACAGCAGCCTCCAGGTTTTGTTATTATTGCTGTTTGTCCTGAGAATGAAAAGATGGACTCTGCTGCCCTTTACTCTTTCCAGATGATTGCCTCAGGCTCTGTTACTGGCAGGAACAAATAAAGCAGAGGCAGGTCTCTGTTCCCTCACACAGGTGAGTAATCAGGATCTAATAGATTTGGAGCCTATGACAAAGTCATGGAAAAAAAAACAAAAAACAAACAAACAAACAAAAAAACAATAGCCACATCCAGCACCTCTGAAATACCATTTTCCTCAAGACTAAGTTTTATGATCAACCTGTCACCCTGTATTGAGTGATAGTGGGAAGGAGTTACTCATTTCACTCGCCAACAATCTCTGGAGCTGTTGTGCTTGTTACTAAGTCCCATGTGCTTAGGGTTGACTACACCAATGTGGGGCTTGGTCCTCACCTGGTGGGCTTGCTGCAAGAGCTCCATCCTCTCCTGGAGAATCTGACAGTCGTACTCCCTGCTCTTTCTCAGCATCTGTCGCCGTAACTTTTCTACAGCCGTCCTCAGCTCCTCTTGCTGTTTATCACTTAACAGTTCACCAAACTTGATCACAGTTTCTTGTTGGAGAGCATTGTACAAGGTAGCCTCTAGTTCCTGGATTCTCTGGCAAATAGAATCAGAAAAGTCTACCTTGGGGACTGAGCATTTGGGTGTGAGTTTCCAAGTCCGGGTAGTGCATGCTTTTCTACTACTGCTCCTGGACCACACATATTTCATCTTTTGAAAATTAAATATGGCATCCTGTATGAGGTCTCAAGAGTTTCTTTCAGGAACCTAGCTTAATATTGTTTTCTCAAGGCAGGAGAGACAAGAATAAAAGGATAAGGCTTGGAAAAAAATTAAATTTGTGTTTTATTTTCTTATCAGTGACCAATTCTCATTCTCTTGCTTCCCCACTAGAGGATAGCAGGATCTCTTACTCATTTGGGAGAGTGCAGACTCAACCATGTTGATACAACAGGGGTTCAGAGTTTTACTCTTTCCCCAGAGATGTGAGAGCATTGGGAGAGTGCAGACTCAACCATGTTGATACAACAGGGGTTCAGAGTTTTTCTCTTTCCCCAGAGTTGTGAGAGCATCATATAAACCTCTGCTAGCAAGCTCTGAAATCTTCCACTAATTTGTTCTTTGTCTCCCGGTTCATTAGTATGAACCCATGAAGGAGGGCATAAGGAGTCCAATGTCATGCATTTGGCAGTATGCATCTTGTAGAAGGGAGGAATCAGTCATGAGCCTCTATAAGTACAATTGTCTATGGGGAGAAGAAGGCACAGCCCATTTACCACCATGGCCTCAATTGCTGTGCTGCATTATGGTGCTAAATTAGGCTACAGTTTCTGGAGTAAGAGATACATTGCAGCTTACTCTTCTACAAACTTGAGCAAAGGCTTTACTCTATAAGCCTTGTTTTCCTCATATGTGATTTAGAAATAACAAGATTATTTGTAATTTATATGCCTATTTTAAGAAATAATGAATTTAAATATGCATAACACAATTAAATCCATTTTTATTCGATTACTACATTAGAGTTCCAAATGATGGTACTTGGCTTGGATGTACACTAGCATTCAGTATGTCTTTCATCTAGATATTACCTGAGAGTACATATTTGATTTAAGAATGAATTAGAATTATGTATAAAATATAAGAATATTATAGCAGCAGCAATCTTGGGGTTTCTGTTCCAAAATTGAGGCAGCAGTTAATAGCTGCATGCACACTGTGTGTATTCAACTACACGAAATGACAAATTAGACAGGACATCTTAGTGCTATTGTACAGTGTGATGAACAAGCAGAGTGTTGGCCACTTATGGTACTTACCATATATGCCTGGTCAAGAGCTTGTTTTCTGTAGTCTAGTTCTTCCTCCAGGTAGCCTTTTATTTTGCAGAATTGTTCCTATAAAAAGGGTCACATTGACAAATTGAGAGAACAAGCTCAGTTAATTAAAAGCGATACATGAAAGCAACACAGATGAATGTTTTCTCTAGCACACAAGACAAATCACTAGTATTTGTAGAACTGTAGTTCTCTTCTAAGAAATTAGTATAGCTTTCACAGCTTCATACAGGGAATGTGAAAATCAATAGCAAGAAGCATAAAAGGTATAACAAAGAGTCGCATGAAATGCTCCTAGACCTTCCAGCCTGTCTGAGAGTGGGTAATTAAAGATAGATTTTGAAATGGTTCTTGCTAAGTTATAAGTCTAACTGTGTAAGTACACTTGGCTTTCTGTTTCTCCTGGTTTTGCACCTAGAGACTCCGCTATCTCTGGAATGAAACTATTTGAATAAAACATCTGTTGACTTTGTCATTTGCTTTCATCATCCCTTAGACACATGGAATAAGTATAATAATAGCTTAGAAAGCAGTTACATTATTAAGGTGAAAAATACATAATCACAATCTAGGGATGATTTAAGGTTCATAAGAGGGTGTGTTATACACAGAGCTGTGGTATTTCATAAAAAGAACCTGGGCATCTGAGGACTTTGGTACTTCCAGGGGGGCCTGGAACCAGTTCCCTGAGGACACAGAGAACAGCTGTGTATTGTTATAGTATGTTTTCCTAAGAATGCCATGAAATTTAACACAAGGGTGTTATATAATAAATAGACTTAATTTATTCAAATTAATAAATACAAAGATGAAGGACATTTTAAAGAGCCAGGGAGATTCCACACACACTGCCATTTGATGAATATTTATTGGCCCCTGTTGCAAAGCTTGTGCAGGCTGGGGAACATAAATCTGAAGTTTCTTCACACATCCTCAGTTCTTGTACATTGCTCACTGCTTGACCATCTTGCCATTATTAGTTAAAGCTTTATTTTTGGGTACAGCATATTGTCATATGCAAGTCAATCATTTCTTGGGGTGCTTAAGTGAAGAGTAAATAACTCTTCCAGCTGATTGGAAGATTGAAAACACAGCTGTGCTCATTTCTGAGAGTGTTCAATAATGCTGCTTGGGCTTCCCTGACCATTGCTGGGTCCCAATGCCCAAAGCACCCCAGAAAGGCTGGCTGCTTCATTAGTAGCTGTCTATTGAAGGGTCTTCCAATGGCACTTTAAACACAAACAGTTCTTACATTCTTTCACTATAGATCTTAATTTCTTCATTAAACATGAACTCTGTACAAGATATTTATGATCACCAAAACTGTTAAGTTCTGTAAGACACAAATTATTGTTATAGAATTTCATGACTTGACAGGAACCTACTACCTTAGTTTTAACAATGATCATTTAAATGACATGTTGTTAGAAGATTATATATAATGCTGCAAGTTAATAACCTATTAATTCTTATGTTTAGAGATGTTATTTCAAATTGTGTGAAAACACACATGAAATACAATTAACACTTTAATCATTAAAGTACATATTCATGGTGTGAAATACATCCACACAGTTATGAAATCAATAACTCTTTAATTTTGCAAAAGAGAAACTACTCCCCTTTAATAACCCTATGGTTTTTCTTTCTCTCAACTCTTGACAGCCACAGTGTGCTGTCTTTTCCCATGAATCTTATGACACTTTACACTCATATGCATGGAATGATAGTGTTTGTCATTTTTTGACAGCTTGTTTCATCACTGTTATCTATGTTGTACCCTTCACTAGACAGTATGGATGCTTGTTTGGAGATGTTGGCTGCAACCAGAGTGAGAGATGTTTAGAAAGAAGATGAGGAGGGAGCCCCAGAAAAAAGAGATGCTCTGTCCAACAGTTATCTTAGACTTAACCAACACATATGCACACCACACTTTGTTCATCCATCAATCTCCAATAGGTGTTTTGGCTGCATTCACCTTTTAGTGAAAAATGTCATTATGAGAGTAGGTGTACAGTAAGCTGCCACAATGCAATTTCCATTGTATTTCTGGGTCATATGATAATTCTATTGAGTTTTCAAAGCAATTCCCATGCTGTTTGCCATATTTGTACTAGTTCACACCTCAGCAGTGCCCTGAATTCCAGCTTCTGCACTTCTTGCCAACTATTGTCACTTTTCATTTTTATTTTTAACAGTAGCTATCCTAATGGGGCTGAAATAGCTTGTGGATTCTTAAAACCAGTCATGCCTATCAAGTCTGTAATTATTCACAGCAGAAAAAAAATATTCAGCCTGAGAAAATACCCTACTTAATTTCTTTCAACACTAGTTTTATTAATGTTGCCTATTAATGGCATGCTTTGGGGGAAACAAGAGCTTGATGTCAGGGGCTAATTCTGAAAAATAGACTCCAAGTCTGTACACAGACAAATAGGGCAATTAATAACTTCCGCTGGTGCCAGATAAAAGTGGTAGGAGTGACGTTCATTTTCATTATGGCATAATGTTTTCCTCTTTATGCTTACCATGTCACTTTCCAGTTCCATCATTTTCTGGTGCAGGGCAGCTTCTGCTCCTTCAATCTGCTGGATCCACTAAAGCATTAAGAAGATAGAAATGTTGGTCATGATTGTTGGATGTGGCATGAATTCTGGGGTTGTTCACTGGAGTGGTTGGTCTTTCCCTTTATGTCTCTGGATGCTGATTGAAACCTTAGGTGAAAACTTAATACATGTTTATGTCCTGAAGTTTAAAAAAATGCTACCATCATATAACTTTTAACATTATTGCCATGCCTTTCAGAATTGAGAACATATCTTAATGAATATATGCATTACATTTTTCATGTTATTCAAACATGTGTACATGACTCTCTGCTATGTGCAGATTCTTTTTCATAATAAAAAATTAAGACAGATTCTTGCTATATAAATCAGGGTGGCCTTGAACTTGCCTATGTCTTTCCAACGTGTTGTGATTAAAAGTGTGTACCACCACACCTGGCTATGGGTTCATAGACTTGGACACAATCAGGAATCTGGCTTGCCTGTCTTGGTTCTCTTCCATCTGTCATGTCATTTACCAGGTTCAGACACAAGAGGTCAGCAGTACACCAATATTGTTGCACTTCCAGACTGAAGCTGTAGTCAGTTAAGACCAAGCCACAGAATCTATGGGGAATAATAGGTGTACACACATGTACTAAAGGGACAGCCTACAACTAGAGCAACTCTAGATTCACCAGCTCTCAACAAAACCCTTCTTACTGGCTCCCCAGTTTGCTGGGATTGCTTGAATAATGTAACTGAGAAGGTTCTCTATTTTGATGAATGATATATTTTGCAAGTGACTTCAATGTAAAAAATATCCATCCATCCCAGAGTGGTATATAGGCTTCTGTCAGTTCTCACTCTCCTGGGTCAAATAATTTATTACATATTCAATAATGCAAAATTGGGTACACAGGGCAGGTGTTCCACTCTCCTGCTGTGAGACACCAAGCTCAACACTGGATGACTAGAAATGTCAGCTTCATTCATTACCTTCTCTGCCAGTGACAGCACAGTGCTGGCCTGAATTATGGCCACCTGTTCTTCATTCCTTAAGTTCTGTGAAGGACAAAAGAAAGACAGTAAGGTGAAAATGAAAGTGCCCAGCATGTGTGCAAATAGCCTCTGTACATTCTGGCTCCTAATAATTCCTCAGAATTTCCTCAGAAAATTCTGCAAAGTCTAGTGCTTTGTTTGACTGTACACACACCTTATTACAGTTGTGCTAAGAAACATGGAATAAAGGAGGAGCTGTCTTGTTCCTACAAGATTTCACTGGGTCTCATTTTCAATGGAAAAATGGTGCACCATTTTCCTTGTACATCTGTCAGTGTACTAGGTGTGCCATTCACCTTAGGCTGCTAAGAGTGGTGCTGCCCTGAATTAGTAACCCTTGGCCCTGCTCAGAGGGAGCTGCTCAAAAGAAAAAAATTATAGCTTCCTGCTTCACTTTATAGGGCTGCCAACAACCCTAGTGTTTAGCCATCTTTCCGACGCCTGGCTGATTAATTCTACACTGGATGCCTGAGAACTGCAGTCAGGAGGTAATTAGCTTTAATCACTGCAGATGTGGTCTGCATTCCAACCTGAAGCCTTTCTATGAAAAGCCCTCTTCCACATCTCCTTTCTGTAGTTACCTTCCCGTCATGCCTATGGATGCTTTGGCATGTGGGATTCTCTGTGAGGAGGAAATGCTTAGGTAGATATGCTATCTACTTGCTGTTATGTTACACTTGACACACTGCCAGTGTTTTTTAACTCTGTTCAGGCCAATCCATACCTTTGTCAAATGTAACTGGTGCGTTACTTACCCCATTATCGCCCAGGATATCAAGCTGCTTTATGAGATCAGGGATGTTGACATCCTGCAAAATCAAGGGGATGCATTCAAGTCAGGCCCAGATGAGGCAGAGAGAAGGGCACTGATGCAGGTACACTGGGCAGCTCAGAGTGGAAGCGGGAAGAGCCATGCAGAAGGTAAAGGGACCAACCAGATACAGAAGGAGGCACCCCAGCTATCCCTCAGGAGGAAGTCCTCATGGCTTTCATGAGGATTGCTGGGCAATCTATTTTGTGGGGAACAGAACCACACCAGCCATCTCAACCTTGCTATGTAAAATGTGTTCCACTAAGCACTAAAGGAAGAATCACTTTTGATCTAGTAAACAGCATGTTATAGAGCCTAAGCCCTTCCTAAAGGGCTAAAATCCTCCAATAATTGATTCTATCAAAAGCAACAAGAACTGGACAACTTCAGAAGTCTCATTCACTCAGTAATCCATAACAATGAATTCCATTGCACCTGCGAAGCTGCAATAAAGGGACACAGGTGACATATTCCATCTGGCCGACTTGAATTGTCTTTCTTGAAACACATAGTTTATTAATATTTCCCCAAGGCAATTAATACCATTTATTTTAATGCATGCTTTGATCCTACCCCACTCACTGTGTTACTCTGACCCAAATGGCCCCTCTCTGTTCTTTGCTGTTACCTTTTATAATCCTGTCAAACATTTATGTTGTGTCCTATTGACTTTCCAATAGATGAGTGACTATTTTTGTCGTGCTGTCTAGGCACTGACATACAGAGCAGCCTTGAGCAGCCTGTCCCCGTTTT